TTTGGTGAAGCATAATTTCCTGCTTTAAAACGCTACAATACTTTCATGGTTAGAAGAAATCAGAATGGTACTAGATGACTAGATAACTTAGGAGAGTCAAGTGTCTGCAGTAAATGTCCTCATAGGAACTCAGAAAAATGTACTGAGCAGATGCAGTAAAACCAAAGCATATCCAGCTCTGTTTTGTTCCAAGTGATATGTATATACCAGTGTATTTATAGATATGCCTGTACACATACGCCTTTATAGTCTTACACTTTTTAATGAGCATTAGATTTTCTTTCTCTTCACAATAAGACCAACAAATTGTTTTTTCCTTATAAGGTAAAATTACTCCACTTTTAAAGAAGATGAGTTTTTTCAGCAGTTTCCTCTAGTGTGCAAGCTGAATATTCTGGTTCAGTACCAAACAGTGAAAAATATAAGCCTTCAGAATAATGGTGTAAAATGAAAAAATTGAAATGCTTCTATATATATTAGGTGTTGGGTTCTTTTTGCTGTGATCATGTTTTGTGGATTCTCAGTGCAACTAGAGACTAAAACCTTGCGCTTTTAAATGGAATTAGATTTTCATATAATCAGAAGACCCCAGGAATAGGAACTTTAACAAGATGAATGGTCTAGGTTTCAAGATAAGATCATTAGATCTGGCAATACTGGTTGCAGCTTATGTCAGTTTTGCCCTTTAGGTTACATACAATACGTAAAGCAGTTACAGGCTTCTCAAGGTCAGTTAAGAGCAAATACAAAAATGAGTAGTAACAAGATCTGGCCAGTCACTGATCACCAAAAAAGAGAGGAAGAACAGAGAACAGACATTTCCTTCTCTTAAATCACACTTAAACAGCGTGATCTGTTGGGAGACATCTGCACTGGGAGAAGATTTGGTGGTTACCGGTGCTGAGGGGCAGGGAATGGAGCTCTCTGGGGTTTCTTTTTCCCCTTTCATCCCCTGGCCTTAGTTTGCTTCCCCGACTGAAAAACGACCTTGCTGTATCCTTTCTGCTGAGTTGTTTCTCCAGAGGATGCCAATTTTAGGGAGTTACTAAAAGAAATGCCCCTTACTAAGGAAAATCCCAGGAGTCCTTCAAACCAGTCTCCCTGTCTGAGCTCTTCTGCAGTGGTTTTATTCCATAGTTCTCTGTTTTAATGATGTTTCTTCCACTGGGCTGAGCAGTGACTATTTCAATTACACCTCTTGGATCCTGACTGTAACTCGTATGTGGGACTGGGACTTTCAGGAGGCTTTGATGGGGCTTTTGCCTTGTCTCTGTGGGATGATCTTAATTCCTTTGAGGGAAATGCCAGTAGATTTTGTTACTTCAGCTTTCTTATCCTATATGCATGGCTTCTGATTCAGATTTGTAGTTCTCTCAGGCTGCCCATTCAGATCAATAATAAAGTTTCTCACCTCCAAATATGCCTTTCTCTTTATATCTGCATACACACATGCCTTGATTGCTGTATCTTGGTGATACTATATTTACTTCCTTACTGAAGACAGTTTGGTCTCCATAAAGAGCAGATGCAAATATCCTGGATAAGGATGAATTGCCATTGGGGGATGTGACATTCCAGTTGTTTTATGCCCAAATAACATAATTTAACTACTGTGTCCTCTTTCCTTAGCATCATATATGATAAATCCTTTTGTATATCTGTTCCATGGTCACACACATAAACTTGCCATCACCAGAGATACACATTTACCACTCTAATATTTTCCTGAACTTTTGGCTACCTTTGCCCCAGGTCTGTTTGCTCTGGGTTAGGATTCATAGCAGGTGCTGATGTCACATGTAATTACAGGGCTGTTTGCCCATCTGTCTGTGTTTTTCTTTCATATCTCTAATGAGGAGGTTCCTAAATGTCATTTGACGTGTTCTAGAGCATGTGCACGGTACCGATTATAATAACTCGGTCTTTATTTTACTTTCAGCTGCATTCCTGTCTTTAAGCTATCCCTCCCCTCCCTTGTCTGCTGCCCATGGAGGTGGCTCCTTCCCTCCCCTCTGGTTGCTAGGGTGATTGGGCTTCCCTGATGCGGATGCTCTTGCCTTGGCTTGTTGCCATCCCTCCGTCTCCCGGAGACTGGAGTTCTCCCTTTCCCTCGGATGGTGACTCCTGTTTGCTCTTCCGCCTGCCCAGGCAGCTATTCACCCTTCTAAGCAGACCTGGTTTAGCAACTGCTAAAAGAACAAGTGATTTCCTGTGCCTGCAGGGTGGGATCAGCCGAGCCTCTGAGTGAAGTGGAAGTCACCTTGTATTATTTTTCCTTTGTTTTTCTGTCTCTGATCCTCCTCCTTGAGCTGCCCTCCAGACAGTTCTCACTCTTAATGTGGCTGTGATGATGAGGAAAAGGACCCTAGAGTGGTGCATTTGCAGCAGAGGTAAAGCCTTTTTTAATTTGTATTTCAGAATGAATAAATTCAATTTTCATGTTAGTGACGTTGGAAAACAGACCCTTGCAGTGCTTGTAAGCACATTTACTATAGAGTTTTTGCCAAGGTTTAACTCAAAAATGGCTAAACCTCAGGATAAGCGCATCTTTCACACATGTCTGAATTCAGGTGTGGAATTACAGGTTGTTCAGAAACTTTGTTGAAGGAATTTGGCTGTTTTCTCTTGCTGAGCAAACAGATAATGTGAGATCTTTATGTTCAGCCTCAAAAGCCAGAATTTCAGGTTCTGCATGCCTGTCCCAGGTTGCTGGCAAATGTGGCCCCATCTTAGAATCACTTTCAGAGTTGTCCAGTGACCGATTCTGAGTTACAAATCAATGTAGAGTTGCAGTCTGCCTGGGTATGACTCAGCCACAAACAAGCAGTAGTGGGTTTAGTCAATTAAGTTCCCTGAGTTTTTTTGCCCAGTTCTAGCTAAAATGCTCTTTTGTGACATCAATAAGAAAATTTTAGGTGTTGCTAAGAATTTAGGGATGGAAATTTAGACTTTTTTTCATCCGTAGGGATGGAAAAATTACTACTTAGCAGTTCATATTTCCTGCTTTTCCACAAAGCATGGGTGTTTTGTCTTGTATATTCCCCTATGTTTTCTCTGGCATAATTTGAAATTATTCAAATGCTAGGACTTTTACTGCTTTGTTTTATGCTTTTGGGGCACAGTGCATTAGGCTGGTGCTGCAAGTGTAAATGAAGTAATGCTTCCAAGTATTTGGATAAATGTGGTTCTTTGCTCAAGTTCATCCTTCATCCTCTCCTTCGCACTTTAAACATTCCATCTTTTGAGCTTGCTTTTTAAAGTCATAAGATCTATATGCAGAACTGGAAGTGTTAATATCTGTGTGTTGTAGGAAGTCCGGGAACAGCAGCTAAACTGTAGCTACGAGATATACAACCCTCAACATGCTTCCCTTTCTAACATATAGCTATTTTTAAAACATAGAACATATTACATTTAGCTAAGCACTGAAACATTATGTGCTTGTTCTCTTACATGAAAAGTATTTATAAAAGCTTTTTGTGCAGTGGCTGGGAAGTGAAGATAAAATGCATTGGGCTACTTCCATTAACAAAGTTAGTAGGAAGCTCTTGGTAGAGCAGAGTTTGTAATGTTTTTACATCTAGCTGTAAGAAGGATGTTCTATATTTAAAGCACTTCCTTGGAAGAAGCACTGGAACAGTGTTACAGTTTTTCCTGCCAAAAGTAATAGCTGTGGAAGTCTGCAACAGCACCAGACTTGTTACTGAAAGGTAATAGTCTTCCCATGCAAATGTAAGTTAATATTCAAGGGTTTAAATGGGACAGGGAATGATCTTAAATTTCAGCCTTCTGTGCAGTCCTTAGTTCCATTCAAAGACACCAAATATTATAACTTCTCTTCACCATGACTGTGCTGCTTTGATTTAATGCTGGAACAATAAAATATACACGAGTTTTTGTATTGTGCATGCCATGTTGGGCTATAAATATAAAAATGACTTTATTCATCGATATGTGATACTCTGAGGAGTATCTTATCTTACAGCAGTGGTTGGGACAGAGAGTTTATTTGACCTGGATTTTCTCAGCACTTTTGGAAGGGCAGTTTTCAAATGAAGTTCAGGATTCATTAAAGAGATTAGTCAAGGTTATTTGATGAATTTGAACATTACTACATCTGAAATAAGTTTGGATTTTTACTTCCTCTGTTTTATTATTAAAATAACAAATACTTAAGATGCTGAAAAAATCACAGCAGGTTATAGAGAATTCTTCATGTATGATACAGGCTTGATTGGTTTGCCCTGAATTAGTGTGGATGACTTACTTGAAAATGTTTGAAATGCAGTTAGCAGTTCAGGTAGTATTTGGCATTACTCTCACAATATGTACCTATATATGTGAGCAAATACAGAATTCTATTAGCACAGAATTATGATTTTTGGAGGGACAGCTTTTAGGTACCAGTAACTGCAAAAATGCTTAATCTGTCTCTCGTCCTTTAATCTTTATGCAGCTATTAAAATGTAACATTATAACACTATAAAAATCAATGAATATTTATTCTTCTTTAAAGATTTGACTGCTTTGTCATAAGGGAAGATACCCAGCTCTTTTGAAAGTTGCCAGAGGAAAATATTTCTTCAGCTGATGTGCCCAAAGAGAGATTGCTTCTAATTAGAAAGTAAAGTATGTTGAAGAGAAAACTCCACAATGTCAGTCTGAGAGTCTAAGTGCTAACGAGTTAATATAAGCTACCCCTGCAACAACTTCTTAAGAAGGAAAATCAGTGCTGTACCAGGGAGCTGCAATAAGTAGTCTGTCCAAAAGTTAGTGACATACTTTGTTCACATTATTCTTAATTGAATATAATTTTAAAGATGATAGAACTCATTTAAACCATTGTTGCATTTTCCGTTATAGACCATGTCATTACTAGCAACAGTTTTGAACCTCATCGTTTCTGATTTTCTGTATCTTTTTTTAATGATGTATGCCTACCAAGGCAGACAAATTTCTTTTAATTCTGTAGTTAGACCAGGTAAAAAGGACTTACTTACCCTGTCTTCTTCAGCTCTTAAATCTGGCATTGTGCTAACACAAAGGCTTACAGCTGTGGTGGCCACAAACAGAATGGAGAGACAAGCAAAGACTTTCCCTGGGAGTCCTGACTGGGGATTTTCTACCATATCTCTGAGTCTGTTCATAAACTGTCCAAATTTGGTTTTCTCATCCAAGACACATGTAGCTTCTTTGCTCTTCCGAAGTTCCTCTTCTTTGCGTACCTCGGCCAACTCCTGCAGTTTTTGAAATAGTTTTCGGAAGCAGCAGTTCTCCAGGTTGGATTCCTCAATCCCCCAGTATCTCAGCTCCTCCTGGAAAGACAAGGCACACATGTCTCTTAAAAGCATCAGCTTCCCTGCTGCTAGAAAGCTGACGATCATCCCGAAAGCATTGGGGTTCCTGTCAAAGAAGAACTCATGAGTGTCTTCATCGTAATCGTCACACAGCTGGATTATTTCTTCATAGCTGCTGCAAAACTTAAGTTTGCTCAGTCTGGTCAGGGGAAATTCATCTAAAGTGCTCCAAGGTAGCAGGTATTTGATGCCTCCAACATTTATCATAATCTCTGTCTTCAGATCGACTGCAGAGACATGTTCAGGGTGGTAAATCCTCCTGGCTCTTTGGTAATGGACCCCTTTGACAGGAGGGGTTTCAACAGAGACAGGGAAGAAGTGGCTCAAGGAATTACAAGAAGTGTAGCTAATGTTACTATAGTCTTGGTCACTGCCTTTGGAGAGAATAGGCATGTCTAAGAGTTCTCACTGGGACATCCAAAACGGCATCAGAGCAGGGTTATCTGTCAGCCAAAAGACATAAGAAGGAGAAGAAAACAGCAGAGGTTATTGCAAGAGAAAACATGTTCCAGGCTAAATCACAAAATTAACGAGTGCCTGTTTAGTAAGTGAAAGTCACCTCTGTGCTTCTTCCTAAATCTGCAGCCTGTGAATGAAATGTGCTTTGCAGCCTCATTGGTTGTCTGGCAACACACAGGCACGGAGGAGAGCTAAAGCCTCGTTCAGAGTTATCGCAAAGGACTGGATTCCTGTGACTCTAGATGTGATCAGGTCGGTTTCTTTTCCGAGCAGATCTCGGTCAGTGTTAGATCAATGTGTTTTCCAGGGGTTGTCGCTTTGCTTTCTTATTCCTATGAACCCTTAAATACACGCTAACTCAACTAAGCTGCTTAATAGTTATTAGAGCGGTCAATTATCTGTTATCAGCTGGATACAAAGTTCCTAATTGCTTTGACTTGAATGCTCAGATTGCAATTCTTCTTCCTTTCGCTGCACGCCTGTTTTGCCTGCCTCTCAGGTGTATTGCAAGGATTAGCTAGTAGATGTTTTTAATATGCCTTAAGAGGTAAAGTGCTGTATAAATCATGACTATTCCTTTCAACCTGGTCTCGTGTCACCACAAATGGCTGAGAAGATCTAAGGAACGTTTGCCCACCCTGGAGAAAACTTTATTACGCAGACAGAAAGCAATGTACTTCATCAGTCAAAAGGGAAAAGCAATTGAAAGATGCCTCCCCTTTCACTTCCCCCTTTCAGGAGCAAATCTCTGCTTTTGTTCATAATCCCTGAAGATTCAAAGGCATTTATTACCCCCAAATCAGTGAACTGCAAAAACTGCAAAGAAACTTCCCAAAGTTACTCACCACCATGCCCCGGGCTGCTGCCTGGTACCTATCTTCCCCGCAGGTGAAGTCCACATGCCACAAGCTGACCAGCAGAAAGACCTGGGGATGCTTTACAGTATGGATTGCATGAAAAATCACTATAGCACTGTGGAGATCGCAGCCTCTTTCCTCTTTCTCTTCTTCCTGCAAGGGAAAAATATTTGTATGAGTTCATGTACCATATGTTGTACTGATAGATCCTTTGCAGAAGAGACCGTGTCTGAAGTGGCAGCTCCTCTTCTGGACTCCTGGAGTGCCCTGGTGAAATATGCTGAGTGAGAGCTGGTGGATCCTGCCCTCTCCCTGTCTATCCTCTGTTTCCCTTGGGACTGTCAATGTGGTCCTGAAAGAGGAGGGGAGAGGGAAGGGGGAAGGGCTTAGAAATAATCTCTCCAGCATCCCTCCGTCTATTCAGCAGGCAGCAGGCAGCAACTGGGTAAGTACATGGAGTACAAGGACAGTCTCCGACTAATCAGTTTTAATGATAAGTAAATTCTGGCAAACGTACTTAATAAGAAATTTCAGTATCTTTTAACTCCTTCCATTGTAGTCATTCCAGAGTTGCTTGCTTTGGAGACACCAGTCAAATTCCTGAGGAGCAGCTTCCATGTCCTGTGTCCCTCCTGAAACTGGCATTTGCTCTTAAATAACCCTAGACTGAGTGGATAGTTTGTTGGGTCTAGGGATGCTGGGCCTCCGCATTCCTTTGGCTATTAGGGAAGTGGTTTCCTCCCGCGAAAGAAAGGGTCTCTGGCTTGCAAAGAAGAGGTGCTAAGTGCTCTTTTTCCAGATCTGCAGTGCTTTTCCAATAGCCAAGAACTGTCATGTTTCTTTATAGATGACGGAAAATCAAACATAATCCTTTTCTCACTTTTCTCATACATGGCTGTAGCGGAGTGAGCTTGCTGTGATGCTTTTAGGTTCTGTACTGCCAGTAGGTGCCTCAGTCTCAAGTTGGGGTAATGTGGATTTGACCTGTATTCTACTTGCTTGGCCTCAGTCAGAGGGTTCAAGGAACTACAGTTAGATCACATTGACAAGTACCTTCTGCGGTACTTCCAAATGCAGTGAGAAATGCTGAATGCTATAGCTTATGTCTGTATCCAGCGTGGCTGAAAACACTGAAGCTGCTATAACTAGAGGGGTGTGTGAATCTGTAGGATTTCCATATCCCACTCTGAGTATGAAGGTCGCATGGATAAGTGTTATGAGCTTGGATCACAGAGCTGCTTTTCTACCCTTTGGACAGTGGGTACAGGATGCAGTGATGCCATTTGCTTTCACTGGGCTACTTACCCTTGTAATGTGTATGGGACTCGGGCACTGCTGAACTGATGCTCCTCGGAAGCAGATGCTATGGGTGTTTATCAGGGCTGAGCAATGCTGTGGCACAGCCTAGGACGGGAAGTCTTTTCTAATTGGACTTTTAGGCACATCTCTCTTGGTCCACGTGGTGCCCTGAAGATTAACGTCTTATCAGGCTTCTCCACTGGGGGTTTCACTCAAGTCCTAATTATTGCATCCACACAGAAAGACCAGGCGGATGCCTGAAGGCAACTGAGTTCTGGGAGCATAGCTCAGAATCACTTAAATCCTACCACCTTTGTGCAAGATGCGGTTTGCTCTGCCTATCAGTCTTTGTTATGGATTATTTTTGCAAAGCAAAAGCAAACCTATTCTAATTAACTTTGGGTGGATTGTTACACAAAAGGATAAAACTAATTAGCATTTCCTTCTCACCTTGCAAAGCCCTTGTGTGGTGGTGGTAAATGTTCTGAAAGCAGCTGACAAGAAGATGAATAAATCCAAAACGATGAGTAAATATTGTACATAAGTAACTTGAGTGCTATTTATTAATTCATATTCAGGAAATACATCTATTTTAAAGGACTTCCCTTGCAGTACTGCATACTCCAGTATTTGCTTTATTGGGATCTGCAGCTGTATCTGTAGCTAGATCAGGACCTCATTGCCAGCTAGAAGCTTACAAGTATCTGTCAGTCAGTCCATAAGAGTCATCTGTCTTCATAAATGAGACAGAGAATGGATAGAAACATTTTTATCTGAATTTTATTAAGGGGACAGGAAGGCACCAAAAAGAAAAATACTTTATTTGGTGCCTGAGCAAGCCAGGCCCTGAACCCAGCTCTGAAGGGCTTGAACATTCAAACTCAAAGTTATCCTTCCACCCCGGCCAGTCTCTGCCTTCTGCTCTCCTGGACCCGACTCCCTTGTCTGTATGAGATCCTCCTCAGTAGTGGATTATCTCAAACTACTAATGTTGACACCACAAAACTGAAATCTCTGCCCAGGAAAGAAGGGCACATTCCTGGCTCAATTCTAACCTCTGCTGACTTGTTTGTTCACCTTTTCTATGTTTTCTTTTTCATAACTACTGCTGTAGTTTCCCTGTTAAATTCCCTTTGGATTTTCCCTATTTAATATGAAGTTCATAATCTTTATCCTCTTTTTCTGTTCTCTATTTCCCTTACAGTTTCTGGAATTGCTCTCCCTTTGCTCCTTAGCCATCTGGTCATATCAAATTCTTTTACATGCCCTTTATGCCTTAAGTGCAGTTTCCATATGCTTCATTTCTTTGTTGACACGAATGACATCCCTGTCTCTTCCCTTTTGTTCCATTGCTTTTGTTGTTTGGCCATTCTACTGTAATTTGTTTAGAGATGCCTCTCTCATCCCCTTTGTACAACAAGGGCAACATACTACTTCTGGGAGAGAAGCTGAGCAGAAGAGGTAGCTCGTACCCAGATGGTTCCAGGGACAAGGCAATTGCAAGCTGTTGTACAGCTGTCTCATCTGGACTAACCCTCGCCCTGTGTAAACCGAGGTTAAAGCCCCAATCTGATCTGTGTGATAATTGATAGTGTAACTTGCTGCATTCAAATTCAAGCACACACAGCAGAGATCTACTAGGCTGGCTTGAAACCTTGTGGGTATGACGGTGCAGATAACATCGTGTCCCTGTGATGTGCACAGGAGAATCTGGTGACAAACACCCGTTATGGTGAGCAGATTTTTCTTACACAGTTCAAGAACTAAATCATTCAGAGCTGATATTTGGGTATTGATGATAGTGAAATGCTATAGAAGATAGGAAAGCCAGTGATTTTCACTGTCACTTGCTTACCTGTGATTTCATCTCTTGTATTTTGTTCTCTGCAGTTATGCCAGAATCCTGTATCAGGCAGCACATACATACAGAATACAGATATACAGAAACAAGCACTTTTCCTCATAAACCACGTAATAAAACTGTAGAATTGATTGTCACATGATGTTGTGGTGGCCAAAGGTGTAATATATTCAGAAAAGGACTCAGCAAATATATGCAAGGATGCCCACAAGGTAGATCCAACATCTGGCATGGGAAGTCAGTAACCCGTAGGTTGCCGGGCAGCAGGGGGGTGTTTTACCACAATGTATATGATTGCCCTGTTCAGGTTTTTTCCCCCTGGATTTTGGATAGATGATTGTTGTGGTTTAAGCCCAGCCGTAACTCAGAACCACGCAGCCACTCTCTCACTCCTCCCCTCTTCGTCCCCCTGCCTGCCGGAGGGATGGGGAGGAGAATTGAAAGACTGTAACTCCTGCAGGTTGAGATAAGAACAGTCCAGTAACTAAGGTATAGCACAGGTCACTGCTGCTACCACCAATAATAATAATGATAAGGGAAATAACAAGGGGAGAGAATACAACTGTGCACCACCCGCCAACCGATACCCAGCCAGACCGAGCAGCGATCTAATCCTTCTGGGTAACTGCCCCCAGTTTCTATACTGGGCATGACGTGCTGTGGTATGGAATACCTCTTTGGCTAGTTTGGGTCAGGTGTCCTGTTTCTGCTTCCTCCTGGCTTCCCCTCCTGCCTGGCAGAGCATGAGGCTCACAAAGTCCTTGGTCAGGGTAAACATTACTGAGCAGCAACTAAGAACATCGGTGTTATGAGCACTGTTCCCAGGCTGAAAGTAAAAAACACAGCACTGCACCAGCTACTAAGAAAGGAGAAAAATGACTGCTGCTGCTGAACTCAGGTCAATGATGTACACAGGAGCTGCACAGACCTGGTGTGACCCTGTGGAAACCTGAGGAGGGTGGTCTAGGCTGTACTAGTTTGGTCATGCATTTCTGGGTTGAATGTGCGCTACTCACAGTATTTCTCTGTTAGAACAGCAAAAAAGAGCTAAAGACAAAACTGATTATATATGTAGCGCACATATATATATTCAAGACTAATGATGTCTGTATGCAATGGGAAATCACACAAAGAGGTCGACTGCACACTGAAATTGTATGTGCTTGCAGGTCTTCCAATTATTCTGCAGGGAGCAGTCATGTAATTTAATGAAGGCACTGCTGTCAATCTTCATTCCTTCCCAACTGGGCTTTTTGTAATGCTTAAATATAGCACGAAGATAGCTACCTTGCCTGGCATCTATAATGGAAGACTCATTTCCGGCTTTTAAAGTCAGAGAGAAAACAAAAGTGTAAATCAAAATAAATTTATAAGGAAATATGAATGCATTGCAAAAGAGGAACAAAATAAAAGGAAATAAAATAATTTTAAACACCTGTACTGTCTTCATTCCTTGGCTTAGAAATTAACCCGGTGCTGAACCTTCAGTTGGTGCAATTTCATTACAAAATCATTGGGTGTTTTTTCTTTTATTAACTGAGTATACAGCCTTTTGAGGCTAATTCTTTGTTAAAACTCAGTGTACAGACCTGGCCTTTCTCAGGTTCTTTGTGTTTGTGCCACATGAACTGTTATGATAAATAAAATAATTTTTCATTTCTTTGCAGAACACTTGACATGGAATTGAAAAGAGCCTTTTAACACTCAAAACTTAGTTTAAATGTTTCTATTTTCTTCACAGGTGGTTAACAGTTCTGGAAATAATTGGATTTAGGTAGCCTTGTTACACAGAATTTCAACATCTTTTCAGATCTTTGTGTTACTCACTAGACATAAAGAATAGCTTAACCTTCTTTTCTTAGTTTGATTATGACATTACACATAGCAAGGTAAACTTTCAGGATTTATGCTAACATTTTATTCAGTCCAGAAGTATTAGCTTCATGTTCCTGTTTATTTCCTCATAATTTGTCTTTATAGAGCAATAGAAATACCCTTTCTTGCCAAATGCCTAGTTTGTGTGGATAATTAAATTGACAATAAGGGGTTAGATTTACCTCTTCATTATTCAAGTCTTACCAAGTTTCAGCATTATTGATTCCAGTAGAATAATGCAGCAATCGCCCAGGAATATGTGACAAATCAGGTGATGGGTGCCCTTGATTCATTAAGCACTCTTATAATATATTGCTAGGTCATCCCAACCCTTAGAAGCCCCAGTATGCTCCAGGATCCTGTTGTGCCACAAACTGTCTTGACAAACTGAGTCACATCTTGTTGGCAGTGTTTTATTCCTTAATCCCATCCTTGGCTTTGAAAAAGTTGGTTCTTTTTTCTCTGTTGAGTTTGATGAGAATCAAAAGGGGCCACTTCTCATTAGGTGAAATGCCACTGAAGCAAATGAACTATTTAGGGCTTTTCTTTGCTATGTAAATGTAAAATAAGGTTCATGATAGATAATGAACACATTTCTGGGTCCTTTCACTCTTCTTTAGCATGAAGACCGAACCTAGGATTTCACCTCAGAGAAGTTTCCTAAAGTTTTCTGTGCTCATTTGCTCTGGAAAATCGAACCTGTTTATGGACAGTACCCGAGGAAACTGATTTCAAATGGATAATCATACCTGTGTCGATCCCAATGAATTTTGCATTAGGGTTGAATCACTTAAGTTTAAAAGGGGATTAAAATGTTGCGTGGCATAGCCAGAGGAAACAGAAAATTGAAAGCAGTGGCATAGAGCTGAGTGCTACTCTGTCTTTCCACATAGCAAGAGATGGATTAAGTAAGATATGCCCAGGTAATGTGAGATTCATGCTTTAGAGGAAAATGATCTCAAGTCTTTTGTAAGCTGATCTGGAGGATAATTCCCTCCTGATTGCAGTTCCGGTGATCAGTCTCACCCTGAGCACCACCAAAAATGGAGCATTTGA